CAAGTATATTGAATAAAATATATGATTCATTAGGTTTAAATTCGAGTATATTGAATAAAATGTATGATTCATTAGGTTTAAATTCAAGTATATTGAATAAAATATATGATTCATTAGATTTAAATTCAAGTATATTGAATAAAATATATGATTCATTAGGTTTAAATTCGAGTATATTGAATAAAATGTATGATTCATTAGGTTTAAATTCAAGTATATTGAATAAAATATATGATTCATTAGTAGCCAATAATGATTCTGAAAGTGAGTCAAAGTTGGTCAGAATTTGAAAATTCCTATAAATTATTGGACCTACACTAAAACCAAAACATATCAATTCAGCCTTATAATATTAATAGTGAATTTATAGAGAAAGTTATTATCAATTAAAAAAAATTATACGTCTCGAAATTCTATGAACTTCATTGTAAACCAAGCGAACTGAACAGTACTAACAAGCTGATGTATGGTGCCAAGTTTGAATATATACTGAAAGTGCATTGAACCCAGACAAATGGAAATAAAGACAGCAGTGGTCTGTCATTCAGGAGATAAATGGAACAGTTTCACAGAACTAATTATCGAAAGTATAGTAGGAAACAAATAACTGTAAGGACTACATTTGCTTATTTGCAGAAACATGTATGATGAAATCCTTAGCTTGTAACAGCTACTGTTGTTGCTATACCGTGCTTGGACACTTGCGAGTTTCGGTGCTTAACACGCATTCATCAGACACGTGCGCCTGGAGTAGCTGTACCAATAGCACTCTAAAGACAGAAGAAGGTCAAGGGAACGCGCATGGGCAGAACTTTCGGTCGACAAAGTCAGAGGAAGAACCGGGTGTCATCTAAACTCGGTCTGTATGAGAGTTAGTCAGCTGATCATGTATCTTGGGGACACGTCTATACTAGATTTGATTTTCCACGTGAAACTTGATGCGTCAAAAGTAGGGTGAGTTTTTAAAGTTATGTTTAACACAACTGGTGGATGATCACGTATAGAAAGTGGTACTGTAGCATTATTAGTACTGTGTGTATAAACGCTCGCAGTGTATTTTCTAAATGTCTCAGAATCGAAAGTACACAGTGATTGTGTTTCTATTAAAGTACGTAGTGATTGGAACTGAGATTGATTTAACGCTGTTTAGTTGCGATGAGATATTAACTCCCTTTAAGATTCCATAAATTCTTTGTAAATCTGGAAGGATGAAAAATATAGCTTTTTTGTGTCTCTAAAGATCTGTGTTCCTATCTCTTACGTTATTATTTCTCAGATGATGCTCTATTGTTTTATTTCCAATATTGTTTGTTATTGCTTTGTTTCTAAAGTTATTCCTGTTTCGGTTTTTCCACTGTAGTTTTACATAATTTTGTCTTTCAAATGATGATCCATTATTTTATTTACTAGGTTTCTCCTCACGAGTTTATTCCTAATATTATTCCTGTTTTGTTTATTACCCAAATAGTTCTGCGGTAATAAACAAAACGGGAGTAACATTAAAAATAATACAGTGAGACGTAACTTAGAAAATAAAACAATATAGCATCATTTGAAACCCAAAAACTACCAAATAGTTCTGCATAGTTTTGGGGTTTCAAATGATGTTATATTGTTTTCTTACTTAAATTATTTCTGTTTTGTTCATTTCCCAAGTAGGTCTGTATAGTTTCCCCTCAAATAATGCTCATTTGTTTATTTTTTAGGTTTATACCTCATTATGTTTTTTCTAAATTATTCCTCTTTTGTTTATTTTCCAGGTAGTTCTGCATAGTTTTGTCTCTCAAATATTGTTACCTTGTTTTATCTTCTAGATTTTACCTCGTTGGTTTGCTTACCTCTGTTTATTTATTATTCAAGTGTTTTGCAATGTTTCATTTCTCAAATGATCTTGTATTTTTATTTCCTTGATTACTTTTCGTAGTTATATTTCCAAAATTTCTTCTGCATTATTTAATTTATTATTAAACGTCCCATTGTCTAATTTATTATTTTTTGTTATAATTAGACAACTTACTTGATAATATTTCTGATTAGAATCTCAAATTACGCTCTACATGTTTTGATGCTCTTACAGAGAGCATCATCATGAAGAGTCATGATGATGACGCTGTAATAGCATCGTGTGCAATTCCACAATGGATGAAAACATCTTAACATTAATTTATTTTTGTCGCGTTTTATACCGTTCAATTTATTTCCTAAACATTCAAGAAAATTCCACATATTAAATTAAGGGTCCATCTATTGAGGTCAAAACCCCCTCTAGACGATATTAATACAAATCACTAAATTACAGAACAACGACAACAAAGACATAGACTACGACAGTATAAATAACCATAGTTATATAATTAGAAATAAACATGTATTTGTCTTTATACTCTAAAAATGGCTTGTTTTTATTACAAGGGTAGTCAAGTTCAGTTCAAAAAAGTTACCTTTAAAAGTTATTTAACAATAATTTATCTTAATATTAATAATAGATATGCATGCGAGTCATAAATTATTTAAGTGCAGCTACTAACGTTGATTTGAAGTACAAACTGTATAAAGATAGTCGTTATTTTCAGCTGTCTAAAAACTACCTAGTGCCAGTAAAAACTTAGTTCAGTTATCACAGTTTCACACTGTACACCATGGTGAGTAATTTTCCTCCGAGAGACCTAGATTTGTCTATGAAGAATCTAGGACATTCGAGTGACCTGAATGCACATGTATATAACTTCCTGGCGTGTAGTGTCAAGTGGTTAAAAACAGATGACTGTTGCCGTGAGCTCCAAATACGTGGAACCTCACCTGTTAGGTTTTCGAAAATATTACTTGTGACCTAGGCCTAATATATAGAAGAAGGTTAAAATGCCACCTGCCTCTGAAATAGTTTTAATAAAGAAAACATATTGTTATTTGGTTATGAAGTGGATATGAGCTGTTGATTGTCACGAGGATATCAGACACAAAGCTTACTTAATTTTTGATACCGTACACAAAGAAAATAGAAGGTTATTTTGTGGTAATTATGGTAATTGTTATGCATCATACAGAAAGCATACTAAATTGTATTATCATAAAGTATTAGCCTGAATGACTGGGGTTTTAAGTGGTTACAAGGTACGTGGGTTTAGTCTTGCGTGTCGTTTGTTCACAACGCCTTACAGGTTTTAGACACAAAGTTTTATTGTTCGCATGCTTTAGTTTTGAAACTATCTTCCGTTTATTGACTTGAATGCATTTTATTTTTTTCTTGCACTAGATTTTATAAATGTAAACGAAGTACAAGTATATGGGTATACGAGGTTTATATGTTTGAAAATACTTAGTTTATCTCTCATGTGGATAATATGTGAAAAATAATTATTTACGGATTTTATTTTGTAATATTCATGAGTTAGAAATTGTTATATGCAGAATTGAACATTGATTATAAGAACTTATGAGTGAAACTAAAGAAGAACTTAATAATGTCAACCACATTATATCTGCCATATCCAGTAACGAAGATACCTTTCGTCCAATACCAGGGCTCATCAGGCCAGCTAGGATACAAGAGGCTATTTATATCATCAATTACTTGAACAATTGTTTCGAGCTGAACTTTATTTTGATTGATTATATAAGTCAGTTATTAGACATCAGAATTGGGTTTATGATTTAAAAACATCAATTATTATATATTTCATCATCAACTTGTCTATTATTAATATTTATTTATTTTACTTGAACTAACATTAATCATCATTCAAAAGGACTGGCAAACCATTAAATTTAGTAATTCATAATTTTATCTCTTGTAATGTCTATAAGTTAGAATTTCTTTACGGATTTTATAAGTGTGAATTTATTTACAAACGTTATATCTCGTGATGTTATGTGTGAGCTTATTTACATATGTTATCTCTCGTGTTGTTATAAGTGGGTTTGTTTACAGATTTTATCCTTCATAAAGATGTTGTAAATTTGAATTTATTGAGATTTGTATCTATCGCCAAATTTAGAGTTCCACGGTGACTCCGCGACAAGTCTGGGGACTCGTAACTATAAATCTGGTTTCAATACTAGTTGTGAATATGGCACAGATATCCCAAGTTATTTTAAAAGAAGTTTGGAAATGTTTAAAATTTTCATCTCGCATACAATTAAAACAATAATTTCCTCAAGGCTACAGACTTGAGGCTTTTTTACTGTGGAATAGCGTAAGTATTAATCATATATCTCTATCATTGTTATCCTACGCACACTGTAAGTCAGTGTTATCACTAACCAAGCACAAGCGTAACAGTTAGGCGAGCTGGGCGTTCACCTCTGGTGTTGCACTTGTACTCACACAAGAACTGAAGAGACTTAAACATTAGAGGAAGTGTGACGTTGTCATCACTATTCGCTGTAGGTTAATTATCTTGATAAAGAAAAGAAAAAACAACAGCAACAAAAATAATATAAGTGTATGGTTTCAATACAAATAACATGGTAGAACAACACGTGTGAAGTATGCTTTATTTGTGTGTGTGTGTACAGCATATAAGAGAGCCAGTTACGATTTTACTTATACGTATTTAACTATAGAATAAAAAAGGAAAAATAATCTGGCGTATGGATACATAGTGGAGAAGTTCTAAACATTTACTTGAAAAGAACCCACGACGTATTCTTTTCTTTTTAACAAAAACATTTTCGAACAGAAGTCAACCGGTTTTTCCTTCATCCCACGCTATTTTGGTATTACCTTTCTGAATCGGGCCGGCACACGCCTGGGGTGGTATGGGTTTATCCTCGTGAGTGTTTCGTGGCAGGCGCGTTGCGCCGAGCACCATCCAATATGCTTGCGAGCCTCATGAACCACTTTTTGACATTCTTGCTTGAAGAAGGCCGCAGAGCAAGGTCGGGGTAATTGTATCCATAGGCACTAAGTAGCCTCGTGTCAGACATTGCTGCCATCATTGTTTTCATTGAAGTGTATGAACATCAGCAGGTTTCTCCTACTTTCATTTTAAATTTTGAACTTTTTTAAAAGTTTTTTTTTATTAACTGCTATTAAAATGTATCATTTATTGAAACTCAGCAAAAATTTATTAATACACTTCTTCACGTCAACAAGTATTTTAACCTTTTTTTAAAAAATTAAATAATTTGTTTTGATCAAATCTTTCGGATTGGTAATTGAATTGAAATCCACTAAAAGATGGTACGACATGACACTAATAGGGGTCAATATTTTTTCTTCCCGAAGTTATTATGTTTTAAGCACACATTTTAATAGTGGAATATGAAAAATCAAAGAACGATAAAATAAACCGTTAAATTTTCGTTTCTGTTATTTATATCTACACAATAAGTTGTTCAGTACAGGGTCTCTTCATGATTAGAGGTATAAACGCTAAACGTGCCATAATCAGCCTTGTATAAAACAATAAAAACTCACTAGTACTGTTTCACTCTTTAGCCATGCTAAATATTTATTTTGAAGAGCTATTTCTAAAATTATTTTCCATCATACACCTTCAAGTGTTATGAATAAAATTAACTATAATTCTTCATGTTGAATTATTTCTACATCTACTGTTTTCGGTGTTATTAAGTACATGATGTATTTCAAGCGTGATAGAAATGGAATGTTTGTGAATGTTTAATATAGAGATAACACTTTGGATTAAAAATGCTTACACTGTGATACAGAAGTAAAATATACACTGATGTGTAGAGGCTTGTGAATTAATAGTGAGCATAAGGCTAGAACAATATAAGTTTCAGTGCAGTTCATCAAAGACAATTGACACTATTAGTAGAGCTTTGGTTCTACAGTCAGTCAGTCGGTCGGACATCAACATCACTTACAACTCCTCTATGACTTTGGGCTCTCAGCATTTAGGTCATAATCTGAATCTGGCCTAAAGGTAACGAACCCTCAATTTAACTGATCTAACGCACAAACCGGAGTCGCCTTTCTTTTTCCAAATTTCTTCTCGGTGGCGTTGTTATACCAGTTTTGCGGCAATTAACTCAGCGTTCCGCAACACGAGCATATATGTGTATAGGTATTGTAGGGTGGCAGAGGGCGCTGCCGATGCCCTGCCTTGGGCACGGCGTCGCCTGCAAGTAGTTGAACTGTCAGATTTCGTAGAGTAATGTTGGAGAGTGGACTGGTTAGATGGAACGTGAAGTGTATTGAATTTTTGTTTTGTTGATCGACGCTTTTGAGTTAGCAAACCTACGAAGATCACATCTGTGTGGAAGACGCTGATTGAAAGAAATACTTTGTTTTCTTCCAGGTGGAAGAAGTTGAACCGATGTGCCAAGTGCAGGATGACCTTAGTGTTGCCAGCGTTTTGTAGTAACTGCCCAAACTCTTCCCTGTTTTGTAGTAACTATCCTCCAAACTCTTCCCTGTTTTGTAGTAACTACCCTTCAAACTATTCCCTGTTTTCTGAAAATATAAACGTACCAAGCATGCCTTGTGGCTTTGACAGCGAACCTTTGGATTTTGAATCTGTATTGTTTTCAGTTGAATGGCCGTCGACGTTACGCGATTTGCCCGAGACAACTCAGGACAGCGACTCATCGAAAATGACTGCAGGTAAGGCACTGTATAGTATACCAACTTGAACTTATTGAGGAGAATGTTTTGTATTCCTTTTACTGCTTGCCATATGAAGTGATGCTGTTGATTCAGAAGATATATATATATATATATAATGACCGCTTTGTCTGTACGTGTAACCAGTTTATTAGAATAATCTCTATTCTGCACTTGTATCTTTTTCTTTTCTAAAACCAGTTAGGTTCAAATGGGTCAATGAACTAGGAATATAAATTGTGGTTGGGAGAATGTGCTTTGAAGTTTGAGTTGACTTGCTCAAACAGGATGGCTGAAAAGTATCGTCAGCTTGCAGTCTCGTTCACATAATTAAAATTAAATAAACTATGTAACATAAAATAAAATAATCACACAGTGTATAAAATGATAAATCCGATTTCATTTGTACCCTAATAATCAGTGACCCTTCTTGAATATATTTACCATTTTTGTTCTCGTATAACTATTAGAAGTGAATGAAGAGAAATACCACTGTGCGATTTAACTTAACCCTTCTGTTACATTGTACCGTAGGGTCAACGACATGATCTATGTTTGTGTATGCCTTGGTCTTTACAGTCTTTGGCATATTCTAACGTTTTTCCAAAGTGTGGAGCGTTCTCCTTTCCAGGGTGGCGCGGTCCAGCATGGCCAGGTGGTTAGGGCGCTCGACTCGCGATCTGAGGGTCGCCAGTTCGAATCACCGTCCCCTCAAACATGCTCCCCCCTTTTAGCCGTGGGGGAATTATAATGTGGCGGTCAATCCCACTATTCGTTGGTAAAAGAGTAGCCAAAGAGTTGGCGGTGGGTGGTGATGACTAGCCTACCCTCTAGTCTTACACCGCTAAATTAGGGACGGCTAGCACAGATAGCCCTCGTGTAGCTTTGCGGGAAATTCAAAACAAACAAACAAATCCAGGGTGGCGAGAACGATTAGAGTCAATAGTAAAATTAAGCGTTTTAATATAATGTGTATTAGTGAAAATAATAAGTAATTACTACAACACGTATAGTATTTTAATGTGTATTACATCATGTCACTTAGCTCATTCTTTCACTTGTTAAAGGGGGGAGCAAAAGAAAACATATTTATTAAAGGGAGCGTGGATAACAAACATTTGGGGAAGACTACCATGTGAAAATCTTTTTTCTATACCAGCACAGGTGTATTCGCTTTGGCTACGCTTATAATGCGTTTCGGGGAAATCCACAAATTTTCTCGCAGTTATAGTATGTATTGTGTAGATATATAGTGATATATCCAACACGATATCATGTTTTCACACACGTTTTGGCATAAATCCTGGGGTTTCTCCGACATTTACTGCTTTCTGCATCTAGAGTATCAACTATGCATTTGCTTTTACGAGAAGATTCCCTCCCTATCATCTCAGTAAAAACCAAAGCTGTGAATGTCGGAAAAACCATAAGATTTATTCCAAATACGTTTTCGATACTGGTTCCGTTTTGATTGCTACTACAGGGTTAATGCACATGACGTCACACAACAAAGGATTCTGTCATGAAATAATAAACAAGTTGTTTTAGTGGCTTTGAAACTATGTAACAAAAACTGCAACATTATAACAAAATGTTCCACACGGGGAGTAAACGTTGCTACCGCAGCGAAAGGGTGAACATAAACTATGATGTAATTAGTAAATCGTAGTATAACTGATGGTGTGTCGTAATAAAATAACGCAATATCCGGTATGTACACATCTAGAGAAACGTATTTAGACTTACAAAAACAATCACTTAATTACTTCTACTGAACAATACAACATGAAATATGGTTAATATGATTATATTCTTTATCTACATTTTTCATTCTAAATGTGTGTTCAGTTTATGTTCGTTCGGCTAGTTCTGACCTTGAGTCATGTACAGAATGAGTTTTTATTATCAATACTCTTCAAAGTTCAATATGTACAGTACAATAGGTTTATATTATCACGACTTTTGTGAAATGATACTTTTCATACTGTGTTTTCCTTTAACACCCTGTTGAAACCTTTTACGTGAACTATTGTGGTTAATTATTGCTAATACTGTTGAAAAGATTAGTCCACCTATTATGTTGTGGGTCTATTTTAGCTCTGCTAGTACAGTTGGGTCTATTTGACTAGACACCGGTTTCAATTACTTTAAAATGTAATATGTAAATATATCTTTGAGTTCATTCTAATATTTAACATCGAGTCATAGAGACATTGCATAAGTTGTGAACTTGACGTAAAAAAGTGCGTTTGGAAAGTCGATAGAGTCCATATTGATCCCATTCCCATCGAAAATTATAGGTTTAATGGTCATAATTAACGACAACTAAATAAATAAATTGCATTTTTTTTATAATTCGTTCAATTTATTTTCAGATGTTGTAATATTTATTAGTAAAAGTGTCGTGTTTCTGATAGTACACCTCCCGACTCCAAAAATATTTCACAAGAAGTTCTTTTAACAAAATTTCGTGGTGCTTATTTTTAACATCGCATAATTAAAAAAGATGTTATTAATATCTCATTTTAAAGGATGATTTATAATTAGAAGAAAAATAAAGTTTTCCTAAAATAATAATGTTCTATAATACTGTGATAGATGGGCGTGACCTAGTGGTTAGCATGCCGAACTATACATTTGAGGGTCCGTTGTTTGTAGGCACGTTATAAGAGTGACTGTGAAATCCCTCTATTCTATTAGAGTAGCCCAAGAGTAAGCTATCTTCCCTCTAGTCTATCAGTTCAAAATTAGAGACGACTGGAGTAGATAGTCCTTGCGCGAATATCCGAAACAAACAATTCGATGTTACTAAAATCTAATTAAATCGAATAAATAAAAGAAATTTATTCTTCGTGTTATTGTTTTAAATAATATTTGAAACACGTTGGATTTGATTTTGTTATTTGAATAGGTGAGAAGTCTAGTTACAGGCAAAAAAGTCTTTGTAAATGAGTATGGATACTGTTTTGTTCAAGACCCTGTAGTTAGTTAGTACACATACTCGAGAATCATAGAGACGTTGCGCAAATTGTAAACATGACGTCTGTTGATCAAGCCAATGAAGGTCGTTTCTTCGCGTTACTTGGTGAACACTTATCTCTGGTAAAGACCAGTTGTGAGTAGTAAAACTGGTAAAAATCCTTGACTTTTAAGAGTGTTTTCCCTGGAACAAATAACGCATGAAGTTTCAACATTCTTTACTTTCGTATGCCACAACACTTTAAACAAACTAACAAGTTAAGCTTCCAGCGTTCTATATTCCCCTTAGAAAAACTTGCTACTGTATTTGATATTGTTGACCAAGTCAATCATCTCGCTTGTGAGTAATAATGTTAACTAATAAACTCAACTGAGTTAAGTTATAGTTTTATTTACACAAAGTGTCAGGACTATGTTAATCTTTTCAGAAACAAATTGTGTATGTTACTTTTATGATGCAATCTTGTAAATTTAAAGGTAAGTTCTTCTTCGTTTTTTGGAAAAAACCCTCCTAGCTTAAGATGCTCAGCAAAATAAGAAACCACTTTTTAATATGATTACAAACGATTCTCTTGGTTGTGTGAAATTAAAGTGTACAGCCAGTCTGGTTGAGAAAATGAGTGAACATTTCTCACTGATGGTTTTCTATAATTAAACAAATTTCTCACGTAACTATGACCTTCATGGAATAGCAGGTCGTAGATTGAAGGTGTGTGAAAACCTGTTTAGAATGTTTGTCTCATTGGAGAAAATGTAACAAATGCAACTTCTAAAAAAATCTGTTATTCATTAAGGTATTTATTAGAACAACAAAAAATTACATTACATTTTTTAAAAGCAACAGTTGTTAATTTGTTATGTTACAGTATGCAAAAATGTTAACTGGAATCGCGAGTTTCCAAGACCCATTGAAAACGATGTTAATGTTATCATAGAGTTTAATACATTGAAAATGTTCATGATGGTTTTCTTTGTTTTGTAAAATAGTGTTAATTGGAAATACTCTTGTATAATTGAAGGCGCCCGTTGTTCTTTGAAGCAATATTGATTAAATACATTTTAATATAATTATTTACAATACCATAGTTTTTAAGTTATCAGTTCTTTGTGCATGCGGATATAACTTTATGGCTTTTTGAAATGAAATTATTTTCGTGCTTCCAAAAAGTAGTAAGAATCAATTGTACGAATAATAAACATTTTAAGATAATGTGTGACATATGTCACGCACTGGACAAGAGGTTACAGCTGTAGGGTGCACAAGCCAGGTGGTTCTGGTTAAGTACAGACAGAAGAAAAATGCCGTAGAAATGGAAAATGAACGGGAATATTGTGGAGAGTAAACAACACAGAAAAGAGAGTTAAAGAGGGGGAGGGGTGTTAGCTTCTTCCCACTAGATACTGCAAGTTTATTACAGCTAGGTCATTGCTCTCAAAACAGGGTCTTGCACGTTGAGTATTTCTACTGTGGAGGTTGTAATCAGTTCTGTTATTCTACTTTCAGGGTCAGCTTGTGGTAACAGCCCCGAGGGTAGAGAGCTGCCCTCTACCGACAACAAAAGAAAACTCCATCAAGATGAAGATTTCTCAGTAAAACGGCAAAAGAAAGAGTATGAAGATGTTACCATGGTTGAAGACAACAAAGAAGTTAATCCAGCCACTACTGGTCTGGTGTCAGATGTGGAAGAGAAGTGTGGAGAAAATGCTAGCCAGCACTTGGAGAAATGTCATGATCAGGAAATGCCAATGGATGATATAATGCTTCCTACTCGTCGGCGCGTACCTCAGCTGTGGAATCCGCGCATGCGTTGGAAAGACGAACGACGCAAAGTTTTAAAGCTTTCGATGAACAAGTTGCGTCGTATCAAGGACCCAGAAGGTTCTCTGTGTCGCTCCGTTCTCATCAATAATACTGTCAAATGTTTGCAGAAGGAGATCCGTGAAGAAAAAAGTGCCCGCCACCGCGTTATGGGAAGAACCTGTTATGTTTTAGACTCTGACTCACTCGCATCCCACTCAACTTCTAGAAGCTGGACCTTCGATGCTGAGCCTTCTGATGTCATTCCTAGAAAACCTCGAAGCGATTCTGTTTATTTTTCTTCATGCAGTGAAGATATAACTAACTACGATGAAATATTTGGTCTGGACGAAGAGGTTTTAGGAGCTGATGCGTCATGTAGACAAACCAGGCTACAAACACTCATTTCTGAACAGTTAGTTAACTGTGACGCGGATGCTTGCACGTGTACAACCCATACTAACAGGAATGTCGTTAGTGGCTATCAAAAACATCCTCAGACATATAGTTACAAAGGAAAGATTGTGGACGATCATAATTCGCGCCATCAAACAGCATCACCCAACCCATGTGCTACCCAATACCGCATCAGCCATGACTCATTCCTGTCAGATGGACTCATCTCTCAAAGCGTATCAGTCTTGGACTCGGTTGTGTATCAGAGTTTATTAGCATCTTTAGAATCGTGAGGTGAAATTAAATATTTGCTAAAAAATATTTGTAATAGGCATTGCTATTATGGCATCCTTTCAAACTATATCAAGTGATCTCTGTTCGTTTTTTTTTTGTGTTGTTTATCACAGAATGTGACTTAAACGTAAATAGCACGGTGTGTGCGGGCAGCTGTGAAGTTGAATATTACAATAAAAGCGTTAACAAGCGTGTTCATTGTCCTACTTTGGCACGGGTTAGGCTAGTTGAGAGAGACTACGCACAGTATGTGGGTCACAGGGGGTACTGGCCCTCTTAGTTAGGATCAGAATAGAAGAACAACAGAGAAACCATGTGTAATTATAAGCAAGACACTTCTCAAGTGCTAGTGGCCTATAAAATGTTAACCTTATATTTTGCATTACTTCAGTGAACGTCAACTACAGTATTCCCAGGTGCACGGGATCTTTGCACTTCCGTTACAACATTGGGGTTGTGTTGAAACATAGCATTGCCTAGTTTGTAAAACGTTTTTTTCTTTAAATTTACTATTTCTATCATCATTTAATAATTTAGACAGTTTGTGATTATAATGTTAAGATGTTGTTAATTATTGCTAATAATTTAATAGTAAGTTGTATTTATTTAGTTTAAATATGAAGGATTTTGTGATTATTTAAGGGCCTGCTAAACGAGTGTAATAATTGTTTCGAAACAGTGAACAGCTAGCTAGCTACCTTTTACATTTTGGATGTGAACAAACCTGCGATAATAGTTTTGTGATGCTAAATATCCCCGTGCTGTAAACACGCAGCGGGTGCTGTCGGTGGAATTGAGTTCAAGGTTGCGCGATTTTATATTAGGACACGATACAACGAGGAACCCGCTAATAGGGGGCGCTGTACAAAATTAATAATAGCAAACAAACAAATAAATACATGTAAAACGCAGTGTTTTCACCTTATAAACTTATACTTTATATTTGAGATAAATATAATTCATTACATTATATATGTATATATTTATTATTTTAAATAATTCACTGGTAGTAGTTATTGAAGTTTTACATATAATACAAATGATAATTAAGAGAACGGTGTAATTTTTGATGTTGGTCCCATTATGAAAAAAAAAATGCAATAAATACCATGAACCACAGCGTCCAAGATTTTTTTCAAAGCACTAGCCATCTTGTTTAAAAATGTAAATCATGAATTTTCTATACGTCAGAATGCATGATGAATCGTTCAAACTTTCTGGGTAAGATACTACAAGACTCCTCTTTGTTGTGTGTTTCTTGATTATTTTAACTAAAACCTGTGTTACAAGTTTCCAATTTTTTATCTGTTTTGATCTAGTACATACATACCTTTGTAACATAAACTATTAAATCCCCTTATTGTTTGTTACATGTATTAACTATTATGAGATGATGGCCAACCAGCGCCACGTGCCTGGGCTTTCCCAGCAGACCCTCACCTAGTTGTTGTGACCTTCTACTCGCTTAACAATTTATCAGGACTCCTAGGAAGGTCAGTCAGTTGGTGAGCGAAAATCTTGGATACGTGGATGAAAATATACTTGCGTGTTTATGTACCAACAGCGTTTAGAATGAGGAGGCAAAGCTGGAAACCTGGATTACACATGCTGCTCCGGAAATGGTGCTTTAATTAGCCAGCACTTGAAGAGCAGCGTTTATTAAATTACAATAACATTTATTCAAATACTGAAATGACAAACACAGAAACCGTTCAATAGTCAGAGTTGTGCAGTGCTGATTATCATTAATACACGAACCAAGGGATGAAAAGGCTTAGCGCGAATTTTCAAAACAAAATGCTTATTGCATGGTGCAAAGTCTTTATATTTTATACCATATGACATAATCGTTGACGACCTGACCATGGAAACAAATACTTGTAAATAGTTCCTTTTTTTTTCTTTCTTAGTCTTCATTAGGCTTGTCGTTGCCAATTTGTGGTGTTTGTTATACAGATGGGGATTTGTAATCATATGGATAGAATTATATTAAGTAGATTCTTATCGAGGAATACGAAACTATATAATGTTCTAACGTTTTGTTCAATTGATAATATTAGATTGTGTAATTTCTTTGTAATTGTTGCGCTTATCGCAACAATATAATGTAACTGCTTATTATTGTTGTAATGTGAAAAGTGCCCAGTGCCTGGTAAATATGATTTGCGGCCGTTGAAACTTTAAACGAATAATTTAATTATTAAGCAGGTGAAACATTGTAAGACTTTAAGTAGTTTTTCGTTTAACATTTAAAAAAGAAATGTTTCCCATTTGTTGAATTTCTTGAGTTTAAAAGTTAAATTATAAACGTTGAAAGTTAAATGGAGATTATAGTTCTACCAGTTGGTGTGCCCATCAAATAAAGAACTATAACGTTGATATTGAAATGTAAAGCTTGTTATTTGATATTGTTTAATATAGGAACATGAGCGTTTTTATTGTACTTAAAGTGATGCCTTCTATCAAATAGTCTCGTGACTTCGACCACTCTTATTACAATATAGGGTTTTTTTGTGGATCACTGTTTTAAACACATTTGTACATGATTCCTATCCGTCTTTTTAAAACTATTGAAAGAAAGGATCTCGCGTTCTCTGTAAAACGCTGTTCATCGCCTGGTAGGCATATCTACATCTTTGTTTATAACCAGCAATCATGTCACTGGCCATTTTAACAAATGCCTCTAAGACTTTGTGATAGCTTTAGTTTTTGTGGGTTACGTGATACTGTAGGTACATTTCTTATCGATTAAATTAGTCTGTATAAAGATTTGTAGTAATTTCTTAAATGGCATTTTCTTAAAACTATTTTAAAAGAACATTTCATATCTTCATCTTCAATATGCCTAAACCTGGAAATCTGCGATTTTTCTCGAGATGTGTATATATATATAAAACAATGTATATACATATATAACAATACAAACATTTCAGCAACGTAGCTTTTTTTCAACTACATCTTCAAGTCATAATATTTCGATAGTTTTTCTTTGCAGGGTATGTTTAAGTTTGTAATTTTTATCAAATTAAACTTTCACGATGATGGAAGAAAAGACATTGATCCTTCAGAACTTCCGATTTATTTATTTTATTTTGTCTAAGTTATGTGGAATTTGGATGCCAGTGGCTTTAAAAGTTTTTGTTCAAAACTATTCAGTCAAACTTTCCAAACTGGTATTATCTGCTAAAAAGTGCAATTTTTTAAAATCTTTTTCAGTCATTTCACGACATAATTACTTACTAAGCCCAACTATGTAGTTGTATTTTGTACTTAAGTGCCGACAAGGCTCTACAATTGTTTCACAGCTGGAGAAGACTGTGTTTATTATTCATTGTATTCTCTTTGACAGATAATTATTTGAGGTAATATAAAGATTTCTTTTCCTATATAAGAATACATTTTATTGTGTCAGTGAATTCTGAAGAAGTGTGTATATAAGTTGGATAACGGGCGGCCGAAACAGTCGGTTTGTCTAATAAGCTCTTTTATGCTGCTGTGTATGTTATATGTAAATGTGCTACGGATGTTGCAGAAACAGTTCATGTACAGCTAGTACTTAATGTATTTTCGTAAATAAACAAGCAATAGTAAAAAGACCTGTGCCTGTATTTTTTACGCCTTAAATATGTAAATAAAGATATGTTATGGTAGTGATACATAACAAAACTATAGACGTTGTAATACACACACACATTTTGTGAAATACACTTTTATAGGACAACGTTGATCTCCAAAATGTCAGTTCAATAATCTTCTTCTTAAGATGACTATTTACTTCACGCACTAATTGGCGGTCAGAGATCTCTCGACGTCAGAAGGTTTGTGATAGGATAATTTTTTTAGTGATCAGAACATAAAAGTGTGAAAGGGAAGAAGCGTGTCTAGACCGGTATTTAGGTCGTAGTGGATGACCTGGGAGGGTCAGTTACAAACTAGGCCTCTTTCCCCCTCCTTGATACATTTTAATTCATGAGAATTAACGCACAAGAAATAAATTTTTTGTTTTCTATTCCTATTAGCTTCTTCAGTACCATGCCCATGAATTTTATTTTATAGCATTTCATGCTATTTACCACACCACACATTTGATCGCGTCTAAAAAACGGTTCTTTGGTAAACGTCACTTTTCTCTAGATCACATTACCAGAAGCGTATATAACATAAATACCCTATCAATACACTTATCTAGGTGATATTGTAAGACCTGGTTAATGGTGACTTATTTGGTACCATACCTGGATATTTATTTTGTTGAATTTGAAAACGTATTTAAACTGTCCCGTAGAAACCATTCGTAAACATAAATCACACAAACCTTCTTCTTTCCACGATTTTTTTTAACATAAAACATAAGCCACAAACTTATGTTTTACATTAACAGTTTTTAAATATGCACAAAAGCATATTATAGGCCCAACTATTGTAATGACTGAAACAATCATAAATTTCACATTGCCAAAAAACTAGTTTAGAAAATACCTTTAATCCGATATATTCAAGTAGTGTTTTCTAAATTTTTGTGTCCAGTTGTTCTTCATGTTGTATGATATTCTTGTTAACTCAAATGTCGAATAGTCCTATCATGTACTAATCTGTTCACTCAGGTAAAATTTGTATCACTTTGGCCCTGTGTCTAAACCCCTGGGAAGAAGCGAACCCATTTCAAGGGGTGGCACGATACTTGTATAATTTGGTATGAGTTAGGGATTTGTCTCCTCTAGAGAAGTCTTGCACCGACGTCAAAACCTCACGTGATCCGTAGTTTACTGTGTTCTACTAGAACAACTGTTTACATTCGTCTTAGACGAAAAATAAATTTGTCTACTAATATCTTGTTTATTAATGTTATAAATCATCTCAGCGATGTACATAAAGAAAGATATGTCGAGAAAATTGAAAAACTTTAGAGCTTTGGATCCGTATCCTTTGCCAAAGGTGATGTTTACGCCTCCGACAGCATGTAAAGCTTTACTGAATCTTGTGTTTATACGGATTGTTGTTGATTGCTGAAAGGGAATGTTTTTGACGTCAAATATGCTAGCATTGAATGAAGCCGGAAGTTTAGTGACGTCACATACAAGAGTATACAAGTTGTATTTCGAACAGATGCTGAACATGTAGCGTTGAATTCTGGTATGACGTACTTTAATGTTTCTGTCTGAATTTCGACTGCATATTGGAAGTTATTTCTCTTTGTTATATATGAGCATGTATTTAAAGTACTCTTGACTTTTCCTATCGTTTCAGCATCCAGACGCTGGTCATTTCAGAGGTTGTTTTGAAACTTTTTGTGAATAAAGTTTTGTTTTACTTGTTCACTTTGTGATTTATTTTCCCGTCACCTTCTGTTCAGTGGCAAGCTTGGGGGCTTATAACGCTAAAGTTCGGGGTTCGATTCATGCGATAGGAACAGCGCAGATAACCCATTATGTAGTTATGCGCATAAACAAACAATTGACATTTGATTAACATTTCACCCGACTCGCTATGGAATGATCCAGAAGAATGTAAGAACATGACATATAGCTAAAATTTCAAAGTTTAAATGTTACTGTGTTTGACACCTACAATTGTAAATAACATGAGTAATACAACATTTCTGTATTGGGTTTTTCCTTCAACAAGAAATTGGGAAATAAATCTGTATAATAACCAACAGTAAGTAGTTTACGTTATAACACCTCCAAAAATAGAATATTGTAAATTTATACTTGAAACTGTATAGAATAAATTATCAAAACTTTTCATGTACGCGACCAAAAAAAATCTGTTAGAGTAAATGAAGAAGAGTTAAACTGTATATTTCAACAATATGACACAATCATTTGTATATTGATTTTATATACAACCATATCATCATATGCTCCTCCCCGGTGGAATATCGGTAAGTCTACGAACCTGCAACGCTAAAATCGGGAGTTCGATTCCTCTCGGTAAACACAGCAGATAGCCCAATGTGGCTTTGTTATATGTAAACGCATCATCATATGTACATTTAAACTTGCCCTCCAGTAGCACAGCGGTATGTCTGCGGACTTACAACGCTAAGAAACCGGGTTTCGATACCCATGGTGGGCAGGGCACAGATAGTCCATTGTGTAGTTTTGTTCTTAACTTCAAATAAACAAACATTTAAACCATAACATATCATAATTTGTACAACGTCGTCACCATTTCAACCAAAAACGTAACCATTTGTACATCGAAGTCACATTACATCAAAGTTATGATGGATATTAACAGTAATCTAGCATTAAATGTTAGAAGTATGACAATGAATATAAAAATTTGTTTCATATACAGAATCATTGCTATTTTCTCACTGTTATATAGACCGGCTTGATGGCTAGCACGCTTGACTCGCAACCTGCAGATCGCGGGTTCGAATCCCCGTAACTGAACATGCTCGCCCTTTCAGTCATAATGTGACAGTCAATCCCACTATCAGTTGCTAAAAGAGTGGTTTAAAAATTGGCGGTGGGTGATGTTGACTAGCTGCCTTTCCTCTACTCTATCACTGCTGAATTAGGGACGGTTAGCGCAGATAGCCCTCGTGTAGTTTGGCGCGAAATTAAAAAAACAACCAATATTTACAACCACGGTTAAATGAAATATAAAACTACTGCAATAAATGGAGAATCAATATAAACGACCCTAAAACACAAATCATATTATTTACAAAATCAAAAAAGAAGAGCAAACAACCCCAAAAATTATACCTTTACGAAATTATTCTCCAAGTAGCCACATCAGACAAATTCCTGGGTCTAAACTAGATTGAACTAAGCATATAAATGAAAGTAGAAACAAAATCTGGCAAAGAGCGAATTATGTACGACGTCTATCTGGCAACAACAGGGGCATTACAATTGAATACATACTTGAAATAATATAAAACAAACATACGTCCAGTGGTAGAGTATGCCTGCCCAGCATGATTAAATGTAACCAAAGCATACATACAAAAGATACAGAAAAAACAGAAAATCCAATAATCACTAAAGCATACATAGATCCTAGATACACAAACACAACCTTCACAATAACACAAACATCCCCATGTTGTCAAACACTTCAAAATAGACCAATACATTACTTCATTACATCATTAAAAACGCTGAAAAACTTTATCATAAATGACGAAAATAAACCTAAGCACCTCTTACCACTAAATCTAGTACATTCTTCAAGTAACCTATGACCACCTACTACTGAGCAAGCCGGTAGCTAGATATAGTGTTAATTTTATCTTAAAAAGGGTTTTTATGTGTAAAAATAAGATTAATGCTGTATGTTTTACATTAGTATGTATGTAATTGTTTGTGTGAGTAAAACTTTACACTGACAACGAACGAAAAAACGGAATATACACCAGACAACACGAAAAATCTACGAAGTCCATTCATGGACATGGATGGCCTGAAAAGGTTCAGTCGCGTGTGCGAATGAGCTATTGTAATGCACATGCAGTAGCTGCATGATGTAATAATGGGTTTTCCTAGCTACCGGGCCGAATTCTACCAAAGAATTAATGTGGGCTTCATCCACGACACTCACGAAACCAATCAACAGCCAAGAAGGGAGGTAGAGATCCAGGGTGTACCTTATCCTCCCAGGTCACTTGACGAAACAACGATCAATAAAACGCTAGGTAACGAAATATGAGTGATAATGCTTGGAGACGGCTTGAATAGGTAATGAAGAAAAAGTTTAACATAACAGCAAATGTACAACGTTTCGACAAGGTTTTGTCATCATCAGGTACACGTAGTTTACAATGACACAGATATATATATATATATACAGTATGGAACAAAGAGGTCACATGACCGGATACTGTTGCAAGACTTAGAAGATATATTTTGGCACCCCAGGGTGTTGGTTTAGAGTAGGGTTGTTTTGTTCATTTAAGATGGATTCCTTAATTTTTCGTTTGTTTATGTTTGGTTCTTTGCTTAAAATTACCGTGTTTTTAATAGCTATAATCGAGACACATGCCATTCATTCTGCGCTTCATCCCCCACTATACTGGTACAGATATGTCAATGACACTTTTGCTGGTTTCACTTCTACAGAACACACACTAACTTTCTTTGAACACATAAATTCCATTCACGCCAACATCCAATTTACCATAGAATACGAAAACAATAAACAGTTATCTTTTCTTAACATCAACATTATTAGATCGAACACACAGTTTAAAACCAAAATTCACCGTAAGAACACACACAGCGGCCTCTACATCCCCTGGAATTCCGCTAATGACACCACACAAAAAATTAACACACTCAAAACCTCATAAACACAGCCACAGGACTCTGTTCAACGGACTACATAAATTAAGAAATCAACCACATAAAGCAATCCTTCATTCACACCAATAAATTTCCACCAGCTATTGTTGAAAAACTCTCCAACATTTCCCACAACAAAACTCAACTCACGAACAAAATTGATATTAACAAACCCAACATCAGAACATTACACTGCAGTTTACCTTTTGTCTCTGAAACCAGCTCAAGAATTATCCACGCTTGGACAAGACTAGCCATTAAACTCAATATCTCTGTCAATGTCAAATTCTCTCAAAA